AAGCCCACAGAGAGAAGGTGGACCTTCTCTGAATACTGGACCAGTTAGTCCATCCTAAGCTCTGCACTACTGGAGTTAAACTGCTAGTGATGACCGAACTAGTCTGTTTAACCTTGGCTTGGTTATAGCCACTCTTCACTGGCAGTCATGTCAATGGTGATAGGGCGGACATATTTTAGATGGGATGCCAGCCTGTCCCCAGAGCACAGGTGATGATGATTGCAGAAAGGAAAGCTTCCCTCTCTTGCAAGAAGGGACACCACTTCCCATGCCAAACACTGGTCTAATCATGGAGGGCAAAGAGCTAATTGCTTCTTCTGGGGCTGCTAGTACTTGCCCCATTCATGGTACACTGCCTGGGAAAAGCAACTCAAGGGAAGCAAATCAGCAGCAATGCTACTATTTGAAAATCAAACAGTAGCATCCCTTTGCTAAGCCCCAACATCCTAGTTCTTCCATAGGTTTTCAATGTACACTGCCCAAAGCCTAGATTCAGACAGTTCCTATAGCTACTCATGCACAGGCATGCCTCAGTTTAAGGAAGAGCAGAGCAAATTGGATTGAAGCCTCTACAGGCAGGTGGAGACTTGGCTACACCCTTCGGTCAGCTCCCCAGGTACCTAGCTGCAGTCAATGGGAGCAGGAGCCTCAGGACCAAACTGGCTAGGAAACAGGGGCAGCTTGAATCTGGTGGGAGCTGAAAATGGTGCAGAGGCTCCTAGACAGTGTCTGCATGAGGGCTGCAGAAATCCCTTAATGAAAGCAAAGCATCACTCCTCTGTCAGGCTTCATGTCAGATGTAGGCTGAGTCCACACAGGACAGCTGTGTAGTGGTCCCTCTACAGTGAAAATAATGCCTTTCTGTTCATGGATCTCACTTTTCCCTTGAAGTCTGAAGAAATAGCAGTGGTAAATGTGACGCCTGTCTCATTCACCATGTACTGGAAAGAGGTGCACAGGTAGCAAACCCTGTGAACAAAACGGCCGCCCTCCTAGGGTCTAACAAAATGCATGCAACTCGGCATTTAGCAAAACTCTCAACTGCTGGCATGATGCTCAGAGCTTTATTCAGGAGGGAAAGGAAAATGGCTTTCTGCTTTACCTACACATCTGTGTTTTGAGCTTCCTTCCTCCATTATTATCCCATCTTGTATAAATCATTAAACAATTGTTAAAAATAGCACAGCTTACTTTGGAGGTGACTAAAAAAGAGAAGAAATTATACCATCATCCTCCTACAAAACAAAGCATTCCCAGTAGCACCGTACAGACACAGAGCCAAATCTCTTACTCCCTGCTGTTTAGTTTGCTGTCTGACAAGGTATCTCTGTGCCAGCTGCTCTTCCTCTCATCTGTGCTGAGCTGTTGTTTAAGTAGTCATTGTTCTGCAGACACCCAGGAACACAGTGTGCAGCACAGGGTATTGACAAACTTGTTGCCCAGCCTAAAAATACCAACTGATATGTGACCCTGTCATCCTGTTGCTTGGGTACAGTGCAAGCAGTGGGAAATTTCCACCAAGCTCTCGGAAACATAACCTATCCCACTGTGATTTACATAAATAATAAAAAGTTTAATATATCCAGGCTGTATTCATTCCTGAAGTAATTCTGCTGGCTCTAGGGAGAAAACTAATGAGGTGAACTGGATCCTCTAACTTTAATGTGCTAAAAGAGTTATTGTATGCTGTCATACATAGAGATATAAGCAAGTCTAGCTAGCCAGGATGGTATAAGGATTCTCAGTGAATGCCTGCTCTTTGGTTTAACATTTCCATCTGTAGCTCCTGCCCATCTCTGCTAACGCACCCTCCTCCCACCTTGCCTCTGTCCCAGACTCTCAGCACAGCCTTATCTGTGATACTCATCTTCAGGGCCCTCATCTGAAAGTGCTTCAAAGTCTGTGGGGGGCAATGCCCAGAACAGGAGGCTGGCAGTTTAAAACCTTCATCCTCAGTAAAGCACCAGCTTCAGAGCAAGAGCCAGAGGAGCTGTCACAGCAGGGGTACAGTGATATCCTTCACTTGCAACCAGGAACAGTTAATTAGAGGGCTGCTTAGGAGCAGGGAGGACCAGAGAGCAAGCTCCAGCTACATCACAGAGGTCAGCATGGCCTGGGGCAAGTCACATCAGTTCTTTCTGCTTCATTTTTCCTGTACTTAAGGTGGGGGCGATAATTAGTTTACCTCACAGCCAGATCCTGAGATGAACTTTGTAAAGCACATACAAACAAAACTGAACTGGCAGTTTGGTTTTGTAATACAGGGTATTTCTTACTGCCACAGTGCTTTTGTAATGTGGGGGATTTCTTGCTGGAGAGCATGGATGTAAGAGATGAGTGTGAAGTTGACAGAGAATTACTTAGGTCCTCTCAGACTAGAATCTTGTAATAACAAGGTTGTGCTTCACAGCAAAGAGCCATGCTCAACGAATAGGCTAAGGACAAAGAAGTCAGACCTATAACTGATTTTTTTATGCCCTAGCATTAAGAGGCATGTTGGATGTGGGGCATATCCCATTACAAAGGCTGTGAACACTGTCATTCCCCAGAGTGCTACTTGCTCTGCATAAACGGAGAATGTGCTTCTAGGTATCCTGTACAGAGGAGTTTTGCATTTTTATTTCTTCCCAGTGTTTTCTCTTCAAAACCTGATTTATCTCATCAAAGAGAAGGGCAGAGCTGGCTCCTGCCTAAAAGCAAGATGATTTTCCTACCGTACCTCAGCACTGGCTCTTTACAGCATATGCTACTTGCTAGCCAAGGGCTTCTGGGGCTGCACTCTTCCACAAGGAGTTGAATTAGGGCTCTGCAGGCTCACAGTAGAACATGCCTGCACTGTGCTGCAAAGTAAGTGTCACAGGTCTCATTTCCAGAGGGACTAGAATAAGCCAGTTTTCCTCTTCTTTGCCTATGACAGCTAAGTCAGATTCTAAGCAACTTAATTCCCTAGGACCTTGACTCAGCAAAGCATTAAATGAGCTTAAACTTGCAGACTTTGAAGGGAGCCTGGCAGGTAAATCCCAGAGCACCTCAGCCCTCCTGGATCTTGGTGGCTGCTCTACTAAAGAATAGCACAGTCCTAGGTCTGCAAAACAGAACTGCGTGCAAAGAGAGCCACAGTCATCACCTGTATTTAACTAGTTTTTTGTTTCATCCTTGTACCTCCCAGCATCTGCTTGAAGAAAAAACAGAAAAAGGTACAGCAACCCCTCCTTTCAAAATGGCATTCTGACTATTACATTTTTGTCTTCACTACCCATGGAAGAACATCCACAGCTGAAAGCAGATCTCTGCAAGTTCTGGTGTAACAGCTGGGGGCGATGAGCTGTCCTCACATCAGATGTGGTCAGCCTGGCCCTCTCTCTGAGGTCAGGAATGGAGCAGAAAATTACACAAGCCATGTCCCTGATGATAGCTAGCAGAGGTGGCTCTGAAGCTGTTCTTAGCAGAATGTCTGGAAAACTAGTGGTTGATAGACTTTGTATTGCAAATTCTGTGTTTCCTACATCTCCCTGTCCAAGCTTGGCTTAGTAAAGACATGCATACCAAAATAAGCCTCCTTTCAGACCTGTGTGCGCTGCCTATTCAGCATTTGTTTAGTGAACAGAATTTCCCTGGCATCAGGAGAAATTCTAGCAAAGAATGAGCCTGAAGCCCTAGCATCATGAAAGCATCATGAAAGAAACACAGTAGGTAATGAAGGGAAGAAATCTAACACACATCCCTCTTATCCATGTGGTGAAAGTATTTATGGTAAACTGGGTTAAAAAATACCTTGTGAAATATTAACCAGTGGTGGTGCTGCTGCTCCTCCTAGTAGTTTTTGAATGTGCCTGCCAAATTCAACCTTGACAGAGATCATGATTTAGTGATGAATTTCATGCAAAGAGTCTGCATGTAGCAATGGCAAGATGTCATTGTCCCAAAATGCAACACTCCAGCTTTAGCCTAGATGCTGTTAAACACTAGACAATCCACATAGAATCACAGAATGGTTTAAGTTGGAAGGGACCTTAAAGATCATTCAGTTCCAATGACCTTGGTCTGTGAACACTCAAAATGTGTGAAGGATTCATCTGGAGCTCATCTTCTTAGTCAATGCTTCCCGCCATGTGTGAGTTCCCTGATGTCCGATACAAGATGAATTCATCCTGTAGCCTTGATTTCACAGAAGTGAGGATCACAGGGCACTTTGCTCAAGGAAACCAGGCTACACTGTTCTGGAGCCTCTGAAATGACTTATTCTGTGATAGCCAACTGTGTGACAGACTCTTGTGATACTGTGCCCTTGGTCATGTTGTCTCTATGCAAAACATTAGTATATTATGGGAGTTTTACCTGAAAATGAATCCCAGGACCTGGTCCTGTAATTCTTTTTAGAACATTTAAATGGTATTAGAAATTCTTCTCCCTAATATTTCAATATCTAAACTTCAGAAAGCCTGTAAACATTCAGAGTGGTTTCTAGCAGGTCAGTTTCTAGCAGTAGTCTCAGTCAATGGGCGATAGTAGGCAGTACAGTGGTTCTCAAATGGGGTTAGAGGTGCATCCACATGTCAGTGTTTGGCTGTATATGTGAATGTTCAGTGTCATTTGATCCAGATTTTGGGCTGTCCTGTTAGATCTATGGGATCCAACATGAAACCTGGAGCTAGACTCCAAACATTTAGGAATTGAAACCCGGGAATTTGATGCTAGCTGAATCTAAGATGTGTTGTCAGTCATTGAAGTTTCCAGGTAATTGTCCTTTTGTTACTGTTAAAGTGCAGGTATTACAAGGTCTAGTGGTCATTCTGTGGCATGCACACAAATGACCAAGAAGCAAAGTCCTGATTATAATCTCATGAATGTAATACAGCAATAGCCTAAAATGTGTTTTCTAATCAGCTGCTCTTTTGCTCTAAATAAGCTGTGATTTACTTCTGAGCTGTGAGGCAACATGTTGCTCGCTTTGATTTTTAGTTCTCCCTGACCTGTGGCTCAATATCAAAACCACCAAATAAGCCTCATCCAAAAGGGTTTAATTTCTGTTCCCACAGAAATCCAGAAGCAGAACTCCTCAATTAAACAGAAGCAGAATCAGACCAAAGATATCTCTAATGCCTCCACCGAACTTGCTGACTTCATTTCCCATGCTGCAATTTTAAACAACTTATGAACTCTGTTGGCTTTCACAGACTTTAAACTACAGAAATAAAAAAAATATCCATACACATATTGATGTCTTTTGGAAAAAAAAATATTTTTTCTTAGATTGCACATTCAAAACTTGAGCTGCACGCTGCACAGTACAGGAACAGTAGTTTGTCGATCCAATTACCACCATGTAGGTGTGTTTTGATTAGTTCAGCTCTAACCCCACAGTGTCAAACTCGGTCAGCAGCAGGAGATGGACTCCAGGTGTAATTACAGTCAGGGGTCAAGACATGGCTCCTGCGCTGTGAAACATTCTCACTTTACACTGGAAATGCCCCTCCGAGGGAGGTTTGGACAAAGCCTTCAGGTAGATTGCAGTAGACCTCTGGGGGAAAAAAATGCTGTTCCAGATAAAGACCATGTCTGCTCATTTGCCCACCACATTTTGCCTTCTTTCTGCTGTTTCCCAGCTCTTCCCATTTGCCCTCTGCTAAATGAACCAGGCAGTGAACTTCAGCCACAGTGCAATGATGCAGGGAGCAAGAACCCTCACATCTGTGCTGGCAGGCTTTCTCTGCAGGCCCTAAGGCCACAGACAAGATGGAATGTTGGCTGTGCTGGAGTCACTGCACATTTCAGCCCAACTGTAGTGCTGCCAGGAAGTAAAGAAAGTTTTGTACAGGCTGGATTTGGGCCATTGGGCATCTCTTTCCTATGTCCTTGCAGCAACAAGGGCACATATGGCCCACTGTGCTATGAACAACACGTGAAGAAGACTGGTTTTTATCAGCAGACTTTAAACAGTATGTGAAATAGCTGCCACGTTTTTGTGCGGTACCCTGTCCCCCCAAAATAAGAATTTAGGGTGGTTGTTGGTTGTGCTATTTTTTAAATGTTAATGCGGAGGAGCTTCTTGATGCATTATGATGGACAACTGGTGATGTCTCCCCACTCATCCATGACAAGATCTTTCATTTCTTATTCAGGTGGGCATGCAGTTCCGCTTCCAAGGCCATCTTGTCAAAGGTGCGCGTGTTTGTCTCCTCACGCACCTTTTCCCGGACATGGAAGGATGCCCGAGCAACAGACCTGGCATTTTCTAAGACAGTCTTCTTCTCCTTGAAGATCTGCTCACTCCTCTCCAGCTTCCTCTCTATAGAGAGGAGGGTCTCCCTGCGCCGTAAGTCCTCGTACTGTTCCACCTTCTGCTTGTTCATCTTCTGCACTTTCTCCTTCTCCAGACGGCTCAAGACGACCCTGCGGGCTTTTTCTTGGACAGCCTCTTCAGCCACCTGGGCAGCATGCTGGAGCTTTCTCTCTGTCTCTCTAGCAAGGGCCTCCAAGTGCTCCTTCTGCTCTCTTTCCCTCTTCTCTGCTGCCAGTTTGGCTCTCTGGATCTGCATGTCCTCCCTCCTGGCCTTCTCCCTCAGCTCCTGGTTCCTCTTCTCCACTAGTTGCTCATAGTTCTCCTGAGCCTTTGTCAAACTCATCTCCAGGGAGGCCTTCAGCATTTCCCTCTCTTCTGCCTTTTGCTTGGTCAGCTCCTTGAGCAAGGCCTCGTGTTTCAGCTTCTCTGCTTGGTTGAGCAGCTTCTTCTCCTTCTGCAGCTGTACCTCCTTCTTCAGCCTCTTCTGCACGGCCATGGATAGCTTCTCTTGCAGGAGCTGCTCCTCTCGCTCCTGGTGCTCCTTCTTGCCCTCCTCCTTCACCTTCAGGTTGTGCTCTTGATGAAGCTTCTTTTGCTTGTCCTCCTGGATGGCTCTCTGCAGCCTTTCCCTTCGCAGCCGCTCCTGCTTCTCTGCTTGCTCCCGCCACCTCTCCTCGTGCACCATGCGCTGCCTCTGCTTCAGCAGAGCTGCCGCCTCCTGCTCCTGGCTCAGCCTCCCCCGACGCTTCTGCACCTGGCTCTCCCACAACCGCTGGCCCTGCAGGAGGGCCTTCCGCTTCTCTTTCTCCTCCTGCTCCTTCCGCTGCTCCGCCCGGCGCCGCTGGCTGTCCCACTGCAGGTGTGCCGCCTGCCGCTGCTCCCGCAGCAGGCTGGCCTCCTGGTGCTTGGCGATCATCAGCGCCGCGATCTTCTTGTCCCTCTCCGGCACCTCCGAAAGGCCCTTCCTCCTTTTCACCTCCCTGACGATCCTCTCCACCTTCTGGGCGGTCTGCGGCGAGTGGCTGAGGTCGCCCAGGCTGAAGCTGCGCCCCAGCAGGGAGCTGGTGGCGGCGGCTGCTGCTCCCCGGCCCCGGCCGCCCACCTTGCCGCCGCGCTCCCGCAGGCTCTCCCCGCTGTAGGAGGACGAAGCCCCCGACTCGGACGAGGTCTTGCCCCAGCTGCCCTCACGGCGCTTCTGCAGCGAGTCCAGCGAGTGGCTCTTGGCCTTGGCACCCCCGGACGCCCCGGCCTTGCCCCCTCCATGGGGCCGAGGCCCGGCAGCGGTGGCAGCAGCACCAGCAGCCCGGGGCGCACTGCGGGCGGCGGGCGAAAGCGGCAGGCTGCCGAGGGGTGCGAGGATCCGCCTCTTCTCCTCCCGGATAATCCTCTCCCTCTCCTCGCGGCACTGCTGCAGCTTGCGGCGGCGCTCCCGCTCGTAGGCCTCGTAGAGGCCGGTGGCCACCCGCATGGAGCGCCCGGGGGCCTCCCGCAGCAGGTCCCCCAGCGCCCGCGGCAGCAGCTCCACCGGCCGCACGGCGCAGCGGGCGCAGGCCTCCAGCGACCGCGGGCTGGTCAGCACGTACCGGCTGCCCTCCGCCGCCGCGCAGTCGAAGTTGTACAGGTCCAGGTGCAGCAACGGCGACTGCTCCCCTGGCCGGGCCGGCTCTGCTGCCGCTGCCCCCCCGGGCGCCGGGCAGGGCGGCGGGGGCGGCTCAGCCGGCGGCTCCACCATGGCTCGGCCTGCAAGGGGAGAGAGCGGCGGGCGGTGAGCGGGGGGAACGGACCCCTTTGTCTCCCCGGGAAGGCGCCAGGGCCGGGAGGGCAGGAGCTGCGTCGGGGCCGCCTGGGCCGGGGGAGGGCAGCCGTGGGGACGTTCGTGGAGGGAGGGAGTCCGGTTGCGTGGGGTGTTGGGTGGAGGGGGATACCTGGGGCGGGGAGGTGTGTTTGGGTGGTCGGTGGGAGTGCGTGGGGCGGTTTGGAGCGATAGGGGCGTTTGGGGTGACGGGGGGGGGGGGTGTTCAGAGTCCCTGCGGCAGTGGACCCAGGCTTGTTTGGCGATGAATGGGGGTGCACAGCGTGTGTCTGGGCCGGAGGCTGGGGACTCCGGTGCAGGGGGTGCTGGGGAGATGAATGAGGATGCTTGCGGTGCACCGGCTTAGCGGTGCGGTGGAGAGGGCTGCCTGGGCGTGAACGCGGATGCAGGTGCACGGGGGTGTCAGGCAGGGCTGGGAGCGGGACCGGGACCTCCCCCCCGGGGCCGGTACCCATGGCGCAGGACGGACACCCCCGGCCCCCCGCGGCACTCACTCACTCACTCACCGGGCGGGCGCGGCGGGCAGCCCCGCGCTTTGTCTCGGTGCTGGCAGCCTCGGGGATCAGGGGGGTGGCGGCGGCTCCTCCATGGCAGCCGGGGCCCCACGCGGAGCCCCCACCTCCGGGGCGGCGAGCACGGCGGCCGCCCTCAGGCTGAAGCGCCCCGCGCTGGGGGCGGGGGGAACGCGTCCCGCGGGGCCGCGCCGGGCTGGGGGCAGCGATGATGCAGGGCGGGCGTCCCGCCCCCCGTCCGCTGCGGCGGGAGCGGCGCCGGGGCTGGCTCCGGCGGTAGGCAACGCCGCCGGGAGTGTGTCCTTCCCGGCAGGCATCCTGCATCCCTGTGTGTGCATCCCTGCATCTCTCCATCCCTCCGTGCACCTGCCCCTCCGTGCAGACCATCCCCCTGGGAGCGCACTTCCAGGGTTGTGCCCTCTGTCTTGTGCTGTGCCTGCACACAAACAAGCCCACCTGTATTTAAAGTTAATACAAACAAGGATAAAAGGGGTGTAAGAAGGAGGAGGGGATGCTAACCCAGTTTTACAGATGGCAAACTGAGCCACAGGGAGATGAAGGTGGCTGCCTTGGGCTATCTAGGGAATTGGTGCCAAGGCACAGTTCTCAAATTTCAGTTTAAAGCCATTTCCAGCCTTGAAACACTATTCCCTTAAGTGCTTATTCAGGCTGTTGCTTGCTGCTGGGTTATGTCAGGACTGACAAAAGGGGGAACTTTGAGCATGCTGATTGCAGTTACTTTGATATTCCCCTGTTTCTAACAGGGATCCTGGGCTCAACAGCCTCAGTGGGGTCAAGGAATGCTCCTGCTCCTACAATACCATTCAGCAAAAAGGGGATTTTGTCTGGTTGTGGAGTTGCAGAGCATCTGTGCCACATAGTGGAGCAACTCTGATTTTGTCAGGCAGAGGACAGTGGTAGCAAATGCACCATTAGCTACTGTGTTATGACTTCAATGCTTTTCAGCAATTTCTCATTTAACCTCTACAGGAGCAGCTTAATCTGCTTTGCTGTATTAAGGAAGGACTTGGCACTCACTAAAGGACTTCCAGGATGGCCCAGGAGAAGGATATAAAGCAACAGAAGAAGGACTCAAGAAAGGCTTAGGGTGTCCTTGGAAGAAAGCTGGAAAGCTACAGGTTAGTTGTGGTTTCATATTGTACAGGCAAAGACTTTGAACCATGCTCACCCCCAGGCTGATGAATGCACACAGTAATGCACCCACAGCAAGTGGGCAAACTCCACCAATAAGCCATATTGGTCAATGAGAAACTGAACATGAGCCGGCAGTGTCTGCTCACGGCCCAGAAAGCCAACTGTATCCTAGGCTGCATCAAAAGGAGCATGACCAGCAGGTCGAAGGAGGTGATCCTGCCCCTCTGCTCGTGTGAGACCTCACCTGCAGTATTGTGTGCAGTTCTGGTGTCCTCAACATAAAAAGGACATGGAACTGTTGGAACAAGTCCAGAGGAGGGCCACAAGGATGATCAGGGGACTGGAGCACCTCCTGTGTGAAGTTAGGCTGAGAAAGTTGGGGCTGTTGAGCCTGGAGAAGAGAAGGCTGCGTGAAGACCTCATAGCAGCCTTCCAGTATCTGAAGGGGGCCTATAAGGATGCTGGAGAGGGACTCTTCATTAGGGACTGTAATGATAGGAAAAGGGGCAATGGGTTCAAACTTAAACAGGGGAAGTTTAGATCAGATATAAGGAAGAAGTCCTTTCCTGTTAGGGTGGTGAGGCACTGGAATGAGTTGCCCAGGGAAGTTGTGAATGCTCCATCCCTGGCGGTGCTCAAGGCCAGGCTGGACAGAGCCTTGGGTGATATGGTTTAGTGTGAGGTGTCCCTGCCCATGGCAGGGGGGGTGGAACTAGATGATCTTAAGGTCCTTTCCATCCCTAACTATCCTATGATTCTATGATATTGACTAATTTGATCTCATTCATTCATCGGTGTTGTAGTCTGCAGGGGATCGTTATAAAGCTTGGCAATTACTTATGTGAAAAATCCTCAGGCTGGCAACAGCTGTCTGCTGTCTGAAGAGCCCAGCTCACTGGCTGGTGGATCTGACCATTAACACTAGCTGCAGCACCGTAGCTGTCAAACTATGGCTGTGTTCCCTCCTCACAGGATATACTAAGCTGGTAAGTGTATATGCCAGGTAATGTATGGGCTTCTGAGGGCCTTTAGCACATTACTGTTTCAGCCTCCAATGGGGCTTGCATTTGGGCCTCAATCTTTCAGGTTTCCTTGTGGATCTTCAGGAGCCCTGTGAATGGTCTCATGAATGCAATTGGAAGGGTATTTACTGGGAGATTTCAGAAACAGCTGGATATGACTTTTATACATACTATCCAAACATGGACCCATATCCCTACCTCATCAAGACTAAAGAAGATTTGGGATGGAGCAGGAGGAGATCTCCAGAGGACCTGAAGGGGATCACTGCTAGTGAGTCATTTTCCCCCACACAATTATAAAACCTAATTCTCTGTTGGCTAGAAATCTCTAGAAATCTATGCACTCGGGCAGAGCAGTACTATAAGATTATTTTCCTGCTTTAATATACATTTTCCTTCTTTGCATTGCTGTTAATCATAGCAAGAGATAGATGCAGGGCAGTGGAAAGTGTTGACCACAGATTGTGGAGGTGAAAGTATTTGTATCAGTTCAATAAATTCTTCTGTATGCTATTCACTGTAGATGTATTAATTACTTTCTTCCCATGCAACTTTAATACTGCTTTTGCCTGCATTTTTCTCTGCTTTCCTTGTAAGAACTGTTTCACAGCCTACGATTTTACTCATTGGTAAGATGTTGCTAGTTACTTTCAGCTTTGTTTTTTCCTCTTTTTGTTTTATCTTCCCTAGTAAGTGTTATGCCCTACTTGGGTTTATGCCTTACAAGTATTTGTAAACTGTTTCCATATCCCCTCAGAGCCAAGGAAAACATACTGTCATCACAGATCAATCCCCTGTAGTTGCACAACGAGCTATCACCTTTCTTCTGACCTCCTCTCAGTGTATCAGGCTCTCCCAGTAGCTGCTGCCCTGAACTGAGCAGAGTGGGCTTTTGCCCAGCACTTGCCTCAGTGCTGCCTGGCACGGGGTAGTTGTGTGCACAGTCTTGGTGCTGATGTATTGCCTTACTTCTTCCTAACATTTCCTAATGTCCCTTCTAATTTGCTAGCTGTCCTAAGGTTTGTTCAACACAGTTTGACTTTTCAGAACTGTTCCCTCCTCTGCCAGGGGGAATATTAGCTGGTGAATTATTTCCTCCTTGCTAAATAGCCTTTGTTTTGCAGGTTCAATCCTGCCTCCAGCTAGTTTGCAGTTTGTACTCTCTCCTTCTCAGGCTGTGTTTACATGGTTGTCAGGAGGATCCTGACCTAGCTATTGTGTAGCTTCTCCAGCTCTCAGCCTACTCTCTTTTGTTCAGAGCCCTCCTGATTTTGCACCAGAATGTTCCTGCACTTTCCTGGGCCCTGGGAATACGGGGAGGTGACAGCCTTGGAGAGAAGAGTGTGACACAGCTTTTAGGTTACAGGCTGTTGGCATCTCCCAGGCACAGTTCCCTTCTCTTCCTAGCTGCTGGCAGAGCGCAGGCACCCAACACCTTCCTGAGCCTGTCCCTTCTCTGCCCAGAGGCAGCTCCTGCGCCTCTCCCAGGACATACCAGAGCCTCTTTAGTACAATTTTCTGTCAGCTGGATGGTTTAAAACTTTAATGAGGCACTCAGTCTGAGGTCTTGATGATCCCAAGATACTCACCCCCATGACACTCTTGGTCCCTTCCTTCTGAACAGCCCCTTGCCACATGCCATAATTCTTTGTTTACAGTCCTGCAGCCCATGCACCTAAGTGATTCTGCAGCCTACTCTTAGCTGATGTTGAACATAAAGTCCCATGACACTTTCCACACTGGGCTTGCCTGGTAGCCAAAGGCTGAAACCTATTGTGCCACAAAGTTGGTGTAACAACCTGACATAAGCCAAAGTTCTCCTCCGGGAGATTTCAATGTTGGCTGCTTTTATCCATTTCCTATGCTTTGCCTTTGGCATTTGTTACTCCCTGCCTCTGTTCTGCCCACAGCTGTGGCATGGCCTGCCTTTACCTTCCTAGACGGGTGGCAGGATGGGCTTTTGCCTTCCTCCATCTGCTGCCACAGTCTGCCTCTGGGGAGATGCAGGGAAAGCCTCCCTCCTCCCGGGCTTTAAGCATTGTTCTGTAGCCCCCTCCCAGGCTGTTCCAGTGCAGTAACTGCCTCCAGCCAAGGCACCCTTCCCACCACTCACAGCCTAGAGGCTCTGCTTAACGTTGTCATCTGTGGCTGGGCCTCAGCCACTTCACGGGAGGCTTTTGGGAAATGGAGCTTCTGGCTGGAGCAAATGTGCAGAGCAGGGAAGCAGAGGAGATGGGCATGAAGAGGTAGCTGGAGATGGCAACATATGGTAAGGGCAACGCAGAGGGCTGCTGCCAGAAGCAAAACGTTTGGCGGCCACTGGGGACACACTTGCACTACAAATACGTCATCCTTCACTAATTTAAAGCCAGAGTCTAAGGGCAGCATTTGAATCGTGCTGATAGTGAGTTGTTATTGGTATTCATCTTGATGGGTAACACTGGTGTGCGCTGTTTGCTCTCTCATCAAAACCACTTGTCCTCAGTAACTAAAAGGTTTTGTTGGTGTCTAGCTGAAAGCATCCAAAGAGGGTTGGCAGTCTCTGTATTAAGGACTGGCAGCAGCATTGCTGCATGGGTCCTTTCTTGGGGTTATGGTGAACAGCTCTGTACTTGGCTCTGTGCAAGTTGGGCACATCCACAGTGGTCTTTGTATTTGGGTAAACCTATGCAGTTACCAGGGCAGTCTGAAAAACATATGGTAGGTGGCAAAGAAAATTTTTAAAATGAGGGAAAAAACCTTGTCACTGCATATTTCCATGGCAACAAGTGTAGATGTGAGAGCAGGTTTTAGGCTGGATGGGGCTTTGGGCAACCTGGTATAGTGGAAGGTGTCCCTGTCCATGGCAGGAGGGTTGGAATGAGATGATCTTTAAGGTCTCTTTGAACCCAAAGCATTCTATAATCCTGTGATACTCTGTTGTCAATGGTTATTTCTGGAGAAATTTGAGTACTGGCATATTTTGACTTGACCC